GCTGTCCTCATATTCAACTCTATTAGAAGTTTAACATAAGAGCAGGCCAGGTGGCAGCTTTGAGAGCAATGGTAAGAAGACATTCAGAAACGTGCTCTGTGGCGATGTATATCAACGTGACAAGGAAAGCATGTTGACACGGGCTTTAGTTTTGAGGAAAGGAGAGAAGGCAAGAATATAGACTCTGATCCTTTTGTGCGACAGTTATGGTTACCTGGCACCCTGCTACCCTACCTGAGTGGGATATCTGCAGGGAGCCTCTGTGGAGGTTGAAAGTTTGAAAATAATCTTTCCAGTTTACATAGGTATAGCTACATGTAACATGGTTTTCAAAGTGGGTAAAAATATCCACTAGCACAGGAACAGAATCTGTCCAAAAAAATATGGAAATTATTTTAATATGATTGATTTATTTGGTTTTATAAAGAAAAGAAAATCTGCAGTAGCCAGAAAGATTATTGCAAAAATCATTCATTTAGCATTTATAAAGGGCTTTTTGCTCTTAATTTCTTTTATATATTTTATGACTTGGCCAGTACAGCAGGAAAAAAAAAAATTACCAGGAATGCAAACTTCTTAAGAAAACATTACCTTAGCTAAGGTAAAGGGAGTTGACAAAGCTGACAACTTTGTTGCCCTCCACAACTTTGGTCCTTATAAGGGTTCAGGTGTCACATTGGCAGTCAGTGTCCACGACTGACAAATGTGTTTCATTATTTTGTTTACCTGTAAAAGGTTGCTACCTCCTAGAATAATCACAGGGCAAATAGTCTTCATAAACAACAGCATGTTTCCTTTTTGCATGGTTGTTAGCCTATCTGGAAAAAGCGTCTGGGATAGTAACGCTCTGAGTGCCGTGCGGGGAGGCAGAGCAGAGCGGAGCTGCTGCATAGTGCAAGAGTTAAGTCCTGAAGAGATGAAAATAGAAAGCCTGATTGCTGGTTGTCTCATCAGCCCTTGTGAAAAGCAGCTGACAGTGTTCATGTTTGGAAGAGGAGAGGAAATTGGAAATCCATTATGTATCTCCTGGTATTTCAGTCACAGGAATATATGTGACTGCAGTTCAGAAAATACAGAGAGGCTAAGATGCTGAAGCCACAATTCAGAAATGTCCGCTGTCGTACGTTAGCAGGCTAGTAAACTGTTTAAGAAAAAAATTGCTTTGTTTCTTCAAACTCGATTTGTGATAATGGGAAATAGGACTTCTGAAGCTAGATGGGGTAGCTCTAGGCTTTTTCCCCTTCTGCCTGATTTTTGTTTGTGACTGATGCTGAAATTTGGATTTGGCATCATGAAGTCAGCCACCAGACTGGGACTTGGACTGAGAGTAGCTTGCAGAATATCAGTGACCATTTTGATTGTGATCAACACTACAAAAACATAACAAAAGCAGTTCTTTCTCTCCTAAGAGCTAACAGAATGGTTGCTGGTTTGACACCCACACACTTTGTCCCTCCCTCACTGTTTCTGTCTTCACACTTTAAACCCCCTCACAGAGCTTCAGATCAACTGTTGCACAAGATACCCAGCATGTTTCCAGGCCAGAAAGTCACACAAAACCTGCAATGGACACTCATCAGGGAATGCAGTTTGGGCAATGGGTGTTGGGCCACCTCCTGAAATTTGCAGTAAAGGCACCCAGACAGATGCTCTTGTAGAAAGAGCTACTAGTGGTGCTACTTGCTACACAGCAGTATAAAAGAAGGAGAGTAGGTGGAAAGTACTCTGTTCTGACAACAAAAGAATAGTATATGCTGCCTTTTTTTAATAAGATTTCATTTTTCTGTTGAATCAGCTATTGGTCTTGTGATTCTGTCACTGACATGCACACTGTCATCTCGACTTCAGTATTGTGCTACTGCCCAGCATTAGAAATGTCAATTTTTTTAACATTATCTTTTGGAACACTATCCATTTATTCATGCATCACTAAGGATGCACAGTTCCCAAGCAATTTTTTTTTTTTTTTAATGTACACAGTCAAAAGGAATATAAGCAGAGATTATAACAAGATCTTAGGTCTCTGATAATCCTCCCACGGCTGCTGGTAGGGCTGCACGGCCCCTTAGGGCACCTTTCAGCACAGCCAGCCTGCAGCTGCCAGAATGGCAATGGTCCCCTAAGAGCAGAGGACTCCTTTTGGCTTTACTGAAAGTAGAGCAAAGCTCCCATATGAACTTCAACATTTTTCTCTGAAATTGAACTTTTTTCTCTGATTCCAGTGCCTTTTCTTCAAATTCCGCTGCACAAAAAACTTATCAGATTTAACAATTTGAGGAAGTTGGAGAACAAAAAACATCTGGGGCCAGAAAGAGACAAAGAAACATTAGGTGAAAATCTGTGTTCCAATTTAGGGGAACTTTCCCATCAGCTTCCCTCAGAGAACTTGAAAAACGCTTTCTCTTGCCTTTGCAGAATTGCTCTGCTTTGCCTTCAGAGTGAATGCGGCAATTTTCCAAGCCAAACTTAGAGGAGAGAACAAATAAATCACTCTAATGCTTGTCTGGTAGGAATCCAAGCAGTAGAGAAACTACCTCCTTTCTAGAAAGTCTTGTAGAAAATGGTCCAATTTACTTAATCTTTTTGACACACTAATGTTTCTGCTTGAGTCTACAGTTTGCAAGCCATAAACATTGTGACAAATAATGAAGTAATCATGCAATTAGGACTCAATTACTTATGCTACAAGAGTGACCTCTTGCTCCTTTTTCCCCCACGTAAGAAGAAATAAATATTGTGTCTTTTTTTCCCCTCCGGTGCTAGTTTATGGCTTGAGTTATGTGAAATCCAGAAAGTTCATTCTCCTGGTTTTACCTTTGTAAGGTCATCTGGACTGTGGTCTTCCATGAGGCAGTCAGGGTGCACAGTAGATTTTACTAGCTTCCTTCTGCACGTGGACAAGTGAGGAGCGGGGGGATGCAGAGAGGATGAGCTGTGGCTTCTTTCCCTCTCCAAAACTCAAGGCAGTCTAGCAGGGCAGGGAGCAGGGATGTACAGATTGTGGCTTTTGAATTCTGTGCACGCCTGTGGCAGTTCAGGTGCAGCTGCCAGGCCAAGGCTGTGCCACGTGGTTATCCTTCGGGCTATGTTGGTACAAGGGCAAGACCTGAGTAACCCGCTTTGCTGGCTGTGGGAAGAAGTGACCCAGCAGATGCTTCTGGGTTCAGCCTGGCAGAGAGAGTCATTTTGGGATACCGCACCATGCCCACCCGTGTTCCACAGCGGGACTCTTCATCCATCGCTGTCTCTCTCCTGTGACCTGCTCCCTGCGCCTCCCCCTGCTCTCATGCTGCTTGGCTATATGAAGATATTGGTCAGCAGTTTGTAAGCTCAGAAATTTTGGGCAGTTCTACTGCAAGGCCTTGGCAAAGGGGGAAACAAAGAAGAAATCCTGGCTTGAAGGTGCCATGTGTATCATCTTTAAGATGGCTTTGTGGGTCCCCGGACCCAGGTTGAAAGGAATCTGTTGATCACTCACTCAGTGGTCTGCCCGATGTCCCACGTCTTGAATAACTTCCTGTAATAGAGGCTTGAGCCATGTGTCCCGTATGGAAAGAAAGCATGGGCTTTCCTGTATTTCTGTGGAGACCTGCCATTGTTTTCCAGGTGTCTACAGCAGAGATGCAGCAGTTAACGTGAATGTCAGCTAAACCACGCAGCCGTTCAGTCTGGTGGCTGGGGACCAAAGACTCACAGGTGCCCAGTGCGTAGTCACTTTACACCTGTTTGTAGGACTGTGACAGAGCCTGCTACTTCAAGTCTTGTCTGTTTTGAACTGTGGAGTCGCAGGCATATCTGTGCTGGGTGTCTCATAAATGCTCTCAGCTGGTATGGTCTGCACCCCAATGCTTTTCTCAAGGCTGTCTGTAAAAGGCTCCTAACAAGGACCTTCTTTCAGTCTGTCTGGAGTTCAGGATGCAAGCCTCTTTTGGGTGAAACAGAAACTTCCCTCTTAGTGGTCAGTTGCATTTTTCCTCTTGAGCTCTTTGCCACTGAAAGTGCTTCATCTGTCTGCTTTTTACAGCAGCAGTGCCGCTGATTTCATTCTGAGTGGATAGAGCTAGAACTGATGTGCCAGAATAATCTATTTCTCTCATGACATGCCCAGCATATTAAAATTAAGCAATGGCTGGCTTATATTTGCACTTAAATTAGACCATAATAGCACTGTTCTTAGGGGATCCTAATAAGAACTGGAGAATGACACTAAATCAATGGGCTTCTTGTTAAAAGAACTAAACTAAAACTCAGATGCTAAGCCCAATGGACTTTGTTCAAACCTGTTAAAATAGACTTTCCATGAAACAATGTTGTCAAGAAAGAGTTTTATCTTCAGGTTTTTCAGAGTATCTCTTACAGGAATAAACAGAGAAGTAAAATAGAAAGCCATTGTTTGACAAAAAAAAAAGAAGTAGGAAGAGAAAAAAAAGCATGTTATCACAAAACCCATGCAGTGTGAGGATAGCATGTAGTTTTCTTTTTAGCTGGGTCCTTTATCAAATATTCTTATTCCATTCTCTTCCAACACAATGCATTTCTCACTTTATGTTTGTTTTGAATTACTCTTCTAGCTGTAAGATCCACGCATGCTGAGATCTCTTCTGTAAAACACCCAGGATCCTGGCTTAGTTTCCTTTCCATTGATATTAATTCTTTCAGTTTCCACCTCTTACAGAACAGCCTAAATAAGGCAGAATCTCTTCAATCATAAAGACATCACACCAGAATATATGGCCAAAAACCCCTTCCAGAGGGACGAGGATAAATGCTCATCATTGGAGATGAGTTAATGAGGACTCTGCATGAAATCAGTCAGACTGCTCATTACAAGTCTCCATCACTGTGCTTTCTTCTTTCCCTCTCTGCCTGAATTTTAGACATACCTTTAAATTATCCCTTAATCACTTGCTTCCGAGGGTGCTGGCCTGCCTTTGAATGGTTGCTTTTTCAAAACAAGCTTCCTGTCTTTGTGTAATAAGTGTTTTTTTGCCTCTTTTCAGTGATGGTTGGGCAGACAGAGATGAAGTCATTGAAGGTTATGAACCTGAAGCAAATGGAGGCATCACTATCAAACTACAGTCTCCAGAGGTCTTGTCATTTGATGACTACTATCTGAAGCTGCGTCTGGACACCAACACACGCAACCCCTGGTTTCCTGAGTTCTGGCAGCACAGGTTTCAGTGTCGCATCCCAGGGCACCCACTGGAGAATCCCAATTTCCAGAAGAACTGCACTGGTAATGTGTCAAGTATTTTCCTATTTGAATCTGTGCTCTGGCAAATATTTGTCTTTGGGGTTTTTGTTCTTTTTCTCAATGTATAAACACTAGTGAAAAGTGCCAGCCCCAATTTGTACAGATATAAAACCCAGCTCTGGTGGGAATATGTTTCGCACTGGTTGCACAACCTCCTCTCAATTTGGTTCTGCTCTCTTATAGAGTGACTTATCCCTTTTCATGCTTTAAGGCTATGCTGAGGCTGACAAGAGTGTCCAAGGTTGTAATGTGGCTTGTAAAAAATAAGTAACCATTAAATTTTAACAAAAATAAGAACAAATTTGAACTTTTTCTCTCAAAGTCAGCTTTTCTGATCAGCTGAATAATCACAAAGTTCACAGAAAATATTATGGCAGAAAACAAATTTTAAGGAAAATCTATGAGTCTTAAAATTGCCCAGTCTTCTGCTTCACCCTTTTTTTTTCTTCACCCATTAAAACATTTGTAGGTTTTTTTTACTATGTAGCACTCATATAAAAAGCACACTGTCCTATAGATAGAAGTAACTTTCACCTCATAGCAAGAGAAGTGTATCTGTGCATAGACAGGTTTTCTCTTCCATGGCAGAATCTGAGAAAATAATGTAGAATGTTTCAGTAATGTTAGTAAATTGAATGAGAGGTGATCATTTTTCTGCAAAATACTTGCTGAATAATTTTTGCAAATATTTTGCTTGTAGTTTGTAAATATTTGATTTCTATTCAAAAGGCGTACTCCGATACTAAGGAAGTTATTCCATTGGAAACAAAAGTAATGAAGCCTGGCTTCCCGTTGATTTCTGTCCTGTTCTTTCTGTCTCCACCTCCTCTATATCATAGCAGTAATCTCAGCTGGTTTTCATGTGCTCCCTGAGCTGCAGCCCCGTAGTGTTTCTAGTTCTTCCCTTCTCCATCAGTAACACTTCTTAACAACAGCTTCCACATTACCTTTTGTTTCCCCCCAGTTCTCTTAACAGCTGAGACATATCACCAAATACTGTGACTCAAAACTGACTTGATGTGCTGACTGGCAGACAGGCTGGTCCATCTGGGTGCTGAGGGGCTAATGGCAAGCCAGACAGACTAAATAAATATTGAGTTTATATTGATATTTTTTCCTCAAAGGAGTTGTTAACTTTGGACTCTACCAAAATCTTGATTTATGGTATATATATTTCATTGGTTTTGAGACTGCTTCAGCCTGGACGAAGGAGTTAATATAGGCCAACAAGGGCAGAAATTACTAAGGGGAGGTTGAATGATGGTTGCACAGTGAAAATGCATAGCCTTCTTTCTTAAGAAAAGCAACTTAAAATTGCATTGTTTTGTTCGTTCTATTCACATAAATAAATTGCATGTTAATACTCTATAAAAAGGTGTAATTTCTGAGGAAATCTCAGCAGCTGTTATAAACATGGCTAGTTTGTTATCCAGCCTCCTTCTGGCTATAAAGCTAAACAGCTTAGTCTGAACCAGCAATGGGATTCTTCATCTGCTGCATCAAAGGCAAATACCAGGTGGTGAGTTCAAAATGGCCAATATGGGGTACTTCTGCACAGAATGTGTAGATGAGTCTTCAGGGAGTGGTTGCTATAGACTCTAAAATTGTGCTTGAGCCAAAAACAGTTAAACAAATTCATGGAAGAAAACCAATAAGGGTTGTTTTATGGGAAAAAATCACACCACCCCAAACTGGCTCAGGACATCGCAGGGTTGAAGCCACTGGACATCGGAGAGGGTGCTGCAGAGGTACCGTTACATGCCTGGTGTTCTGTGCTTCTCAAGGCATCAGGTATGAAAGACAGGAACCACTACATTCTTATAATACTAGTGGAACACAGAAACATCTACCTACATTGGTAGACTTTGACAGTTAATAGTCGCAATGCACGCACTCAAACATATTTCCCCCCTCTGAAATATATAAGGTTTTACGTGAAGCCTCAAAATGTGTGATATGTTTTAGGCTTTGCTGAAAAGCAATCAGCTCTTAAATTTGGTGGTGAACCACTGATAACCCTCAGGCTTATCACACACAACTGGTAAGTTCATAAGTGTCTCAAATCGCCAAAGGGAAGCACCACAATCTACCTATTCCTAATACTGGCATACCTACAGAACCGAGACACCTACATGTCCCTAGCAAGTCCAGGGGCAATAAAATATTGTATTTGTTTTTCTTTAACTGCACAGAGCTGACTGGCAACTGTCTGGCACCACCAGAGCTTTCTGCACACATGTCTTTATCTGACCTTTCTGCAGGGTTAAGAATGTCACTCCAAATACTAATAGCTTCAAAGCTTGCTCGTGGAGCCTTTCTCTGCAAGGAGGTCTAGTATGACAGTGCCAAGAAACTGCCTTCTTCACCTCTCACAGGTTTGGAGACAGGGCTCTTCACAAGCTCTCTGTAAAAAAAGAGGTCTGCATTGCATCTTCCCTCCTTCACAAAGTATCTCCATGCACAAATTTGAAGGAGAGAATCCATGCTGCTCAATAAATAATAAGCACTAGTATTTGAAATCCATTAAAAGTACCAATAGACAAGACAGTTTTGACGACTTTGTGGTACTACAAATTTAAGTACTGCTGCTACTACTGCATTACGTTGGGAAAATTATCAGTATTCAATACTGGTACCGAGCACCTTAACTCCATTATATCTAAGAGCTCTAATACTCTTACCTCACAGGATTCCATCAATACGCCCGGAACAAGGTACATAGGGTCCTGCATTATGGAAAAATCTGAGTCCCCTGTGGTCCCAGGAGTCCATTTACATTAATACTATGCATTGTGACTGTCTCGGGGTCCTGATCTGTTCTGTATTCCAGAAGTGCACTGGTAGTCCTTTCTGAGAACAAAGCCCACCCATACTTTTGCATGGACAGAAATTAATTCAAAGGCAGTAGACTGCTCACGTTCATCTCTCATGTTTGGAGACTTAACATCTCTGGAAACTATCTGATGAAAAAGAAAACCAAGAACAAAAATATTTGTGATATTTAGAGGGTCATCGTGTATTTGTATTTACCCAGCAGTGGTTTGCCTAGGAGCAATTAGAAACAAAAAAAGAAAAGGGAGTTTTGTTCTCTACCTTATTAAAAAAGATTCAAAATCCTTGGACTTATCTGTTTTGAAAAGGAGATTAATTACAAAGTTTGTATTTGAGAAACTTCAATTACTGCCTGCCCAGTGTAATTTGCTCATGCACAACGTAATCACTTTACTGAGTGATTTATTCAGAACTGCCACTGAAATGTGAAGTTCAATTTTTAGCATTCATGGATAGGCAAGGACTTCTCCTCAAGCAATTACAGCTGCTGCATTTGCAATTTCTTACGTCCTGTTACTGTTGAGTCTGGACTAGCTCAGGATTGCAGGCTCTCTAGGAAGCAAGGGAAAGCCAGTTCCTAGAAATCCCCCTTCTCTGATGACAAGAATTACTACTTCAATTCCTTCATTCAGTCCCTGGGAAGACCGATGTTGTCCTTCAGGAATTCTCATGTTACACTGAGCTCTGAATGTACATGTGTATTTTTGGGGAAAAAGGTTTATCGGTCTAAGCGCTATTGGAAGGAAACAAGTCCAAGTTCCTTCCACACTGTGAAGTCTGTGGGATGCCTAACAATTAGCCACAATTTCAGAATAGCTTATCTGGATCTACTAGGACTATATGGTAGTAGCACAAATTCTTGGGAAGAAAAGATTATCATTAAGAGTTTTGCAGTGACTGTTCTTTTGAATCATCCCTTCTCGCAAAAATTAAACAACTTACTTTTCCCACTTGGGTGGCAGCCAAATGAGTGGGAGCTATTTTTGACTCATTCTTTGCTAGTGTTGTAGCCAAATGCCTCTCACAAGGGAATGCCTCTCTCCCTATCCCTCTCTTTTCACCCCTCCCTCTTTCTCTCTCTCTCTGCTATAGGAGATACTCTTCCTCAACACAATAGGACTCAAGTCTAGAAATTTTTTTATACATAGATGTATTGGATCTGGCTGGGATGAAGTTAACTTTCCCCATAGCAGCCCTCATAGTGCTGTGCTTTGTAGCTGTAGCTAGAAAGGTTTTGATAACACACCAGTGTTTTGGCCAATGCTGAGCAGTGCTTGCACAGCACTGAGGCTGTCTCTTCACCCCTCTACATCCTCCTCAAAGGCCAGTGGGCTGGGAGTGGGCAAGAGGTTGGGAAGGGACATAGCCAGGACAGCTGATCCAAACTGGACGAAGTTTCCCTCCCATATGATGTCGTGCTCAGCAATAAAAGCTAAGAGAAAGGGAGGAGGGGGGGATTCATTATTAAGGCATTTGTTTTCTGAAGCAACCTCCACATACTGAGGCTCTGCTTCCTAGGAAGTGACTGGACATCGCTTACTGATGGCGGTAGAGAACAAATCTTCATCTTTGCTTCCGTGCATGGCCCTTGCTTTTCTTTCTTAAACTGTCTGTATAAGATAAAGGACCCATAAGTTTTTCATTCTGTTTTCTCCCCCTGTCCTGCTGAGGGGGAGTGAGAGAGTGGCTTGGTGGGCACCTGCCAGCCAAAGTCAACCCACCACAGTAGAAAAGAGATATTTGTATACGACCACTATCCTGTAGTTTTCTTGATATCTAGCAGGCCAAACCCACTTCCAGTACAGAATTCTTCTTCTTAAACTTTACATGTCCCTAAGGTGCTTTTAATGTTTTCCATGTAGTAGCTATATTCTTTAGGAAACAAAGCATGTCCTGCAACTCTGTGCATGGACTCCTGACTCATCACAAGGTTCAGAATTTCACACCATTCGTCATGCACTTCAGATGAAAAGTCAGAACAGAGCAGACCATTTTAACACTAACAGAAAAAAAGATGTTTCTGAATTTGAGATACTAAGAAGATACCTAACTCAGGATGGATCTGACATTAAGTTCCTTTAGCACACAACCTCAGGTGCTGCCCCAAGTAACAGTTACAGTTCATCGGACAACTCAGCCTTTTGCACATT